CCCATTTGGTTTTAGTTTATTTTATCTGCTTATGCTATCTCTCTCTCTCTCTCTCTCTCTCTCTGTGCAATACTTTCTCTAAGAGTTATTATATAATGAACTGACTGACATCTGCTTAATCAGCTTCCTGATGGAAGGGTTATTAAAGTTGGCACAGAACGGTTCCAGGCCCCAGAGGCTCTTTTTACACCAGTGAGTCATACTTCCCTTGTATGCATACTGTGGTATAAGAAATTTCTATGCTATATAATTGCTCATCTAAATATTGGTTCTGTCTTGAAATTAACTAATTACTTTTCTGACAAAAAGTCCATTTACGTTGTGTTTGATGGTTCAGATTAGTTTTGGCTTTCTGCCACTCGACATGTCCATGATGGATCTCATTAATTTAGATGCAAGAATGACTAGTTACAAAATAATATTTGTTTAGGACCAGAACCTGCTGATATGATGTCACTATTAAGAGCTTTATTGCTCTCATCCACGATATCGTTTAGAGTTATCACATGCTAAAATTATGAGGTTCTTTGCTGGCAGAAATAATAGTAAATAATCAAATGAAAATCAAGCAATGATTATTTTTGCAGGAGCTCATAGATGTTGAAGGTGACGGAATGGCTGACATGGTTTTCCGCTGCATTCAGGAAATGGATATTGACAACAGGATGATGGTATGTATTAAGTTTATATCTTCTATTTCATAAACTTTATATCTATTGTTATTTTTTCAGGAAGGATGCTGAAGATAGCTTCTTATGAAATTTTTTTCTTTTCAATTAAAGTAGATTAAAAATAAAAATACATACCATGTAGATAAAAAATACGCTGGTATTTGCTGTTGGTTGCCTTTTCAAAACTGCCCTCTTACTTTCATGTGTCATATGATGGAAGACGCAGCCTCTAATGGATCTATTTCCTCATGCTCCATTTTAATTTTTTTTTGTATAGTTATCCCATAATGTTCTCATTTTTCTAGAATGTATCTGCAATTGCTTTGGTAATCATAAATTCAAGCATGTAGAACTGGCCGCCTGCTATGAACTTCTGATTTTTCTCATGTTTGATCTTTGCAGCTCTACCAGCATATTGTTTTAAGTGGAGGCAGCACCATGTATCCTGGATTACCTAGTCGGTAATATCTCAATATTTCTCTTGAGGGATTTAAATCATGGTCCTCTTTTCAAAGATATCTAATGATGCATCGACTTGTAGTTTGTGCTATATTTGATAGGATTGCTGTGTTCGAACTTTGAGATAACTTTCTGAATTCTTTTCTTTCTGAGTGCTGGGCCATGTGGTCTTCATGGTTTCCTCATTTTTTAACATGGTTACCAGTGAGCTTCTTCATTTGTTTCAGCCTGGAGAAAGAAATCCTGGATCGATATCTTGAAGCAGTTCTGAAGGGAAATAAAGATGGGCTAAAGGTGAGATCTGAGCTATACCCATTTATTTGAGAGACTTATCTCTAAAGCTTCAGTAACTTTCCTTTTGTCTTATACAGCAATAAATGATCTTTTGCACCAGTGAATTATATAAAAGTCACCCAACAAACAGTGAGAAAATATGGAGAAAATAAAAAATAAGGAGCTTCATGCAGCCAAGGTGCAACAAGAATTATGTTTTGAGTAGATGGAAATTGTATACACAGAAATAAGTGTTAACTAAAGTGGACATAATATACTTAGGTAACTTTTTAGTACATATTTTGCAGACCTTGTATTTCATATTTAGGAGAATGTTTTCTTTAATTTTCAGCGTACTGTACTTCTCAATATCGTGTTTTGAGAGACCATGCATGAAGGTTACATTTTTCAGATGTTTCTGGCCCATTATTAGGCAATTACATGACTAAAAAGCTCTCTTTTTTTAATTGTGGAACGGGAGAAAATCATTAGATACATGACTTGAACTGTGAATCTGCAAGTTTTACTGAGCACCAGCTTCAATTTTTTATTTTTTTCCTTTTCTTCATTTTCATATCTTGTAACTTTTTCCAAAGAAGTGTTTCATATCTTTCTAACAGAAACTGAGGTTGCGGATTGAGGATCCACCACGAAGAAAACACATGGTGTACCTTGGAGGTGCAGTTCTTGCAGGCATTATGAAAGTATATCTCTCTCTTTTTCTCTCTCCTGCGCATATAAGAGTGTGGACACACTTACATGCTTACAAATGAAAGATGCAATGACTATTGTGGACAGTCCTTTGTGGGAAATTTTTCAAAATGAAAAATAATTTGTTACATTTGTTGGAACCATTGAGTTGAGTCATATAAGAAATTTGGATGTGGTGGGTAACTTATGCAGGATGCACCTGAATTTTGGATTAGCAGAGAAGATTATCTGGAGGAAGGAATTCGTTGTCTAATCAAGTGCGGCCAGGCCTAAGTTCTGGATACCAGTCTGCCTGTGACCTACAAGCAAAGGTGTGGCCTAGGCTTAAGTTTTAGATACCAGTTTGCATGTGACCTACCAGCAAAGGTGTTGAAGCCACTCGTAAGTAAGGGACTGATGCTAAGTTTAGTCTCATTTATAACGATCTGCCATGTGTAAAATTGTTCCCAGTGTATAGGATAATTTATTAAAGTCAATAATTACTGGCAGTGGCTTTTCAATTCCTCAGCCTTGTACCATTATAACCAGAAAGATTAAAACAAAATAATAGATTCTTTCCTGTTTAATTTCCTTTTTTGTAATAATTAGAAAAATGTATAATTCAAAACTTATACTCATTTTGGCTTATTCTCAGCTTTTGTTTTCATCTGGGTAAGTTACTGTTCATATATCTGCTATCCAGGTTTCAAGAGCTTCATTTGCTACTCTCTTAACTCTTATACAGCCTAGTGTGATATTTCATCAACAAGCACAAAGATTCAGGCTTTTTAGGAGGGGCAACTATCGTGATGTGAAGGCCAAGATGGGTTTGGATTTTGGACACTACAATCCTACTAAAATGACAGCAAAGGCCTATGTCCACATCACTGGAAATTCTCAAGGTAATATGGTTTGATTCTTGAGAAAGTTATTATGACTTGTAATATATTCACTGTTATATTTTATGGGTTACTGTTATAATTTTATGGGTTAGTATTATGATACTATATTTTTATCTTCATGCCGAAATGCTTTTACATTTTATGTTGAATCAATTAGTTTTTTTTTCACTTTATAAGATGTAGGAAATGACACCATAAAAAACATTAAAAGAGAAGAGATTTGTCATTTTGTTCTGCATTCCGAAGAAAAAGGATTTGAATTGAAAGTATGGTTTATGAATTAGTAAAATTTTCATGGCAAAAAAATATATCATAAACAAATTTTTGTCATTGCTTGATGTTTATTTGATATCTCTCTTAAATTTATACAACTAAATTATTTCAATTAAAAACAAAATAGCAATTTAATGCAATGGTGAAATTGAGGCACATGGATTCATGTGGCAGTAATAAGTGGGTGCTACTGTGGTGCCTCTAGGGCATCAATTCTTTTTTTTTTTTTTTTTAAAAAAAGATAACTAGTCTCAAACTTTTAGAATTATACAATTCAAAACTATTGCAGCAGGTAAAAGGTCTGTTTTTCTAGTGTTCCATAATTTACAGAATTTATTTTACGAACGAATTTTTTTTCTGTCCAAATCTATTTTAAAATTAGTTCCTGAGCTGATTTCTATTCACCAACCATATCTTTTCTGCCCATTTCTCCTCTTTGTTGTCTTGCTTTTTTTTCTTTAGTTGCATTGAGATATTCCCTTTTGGTCACATACATAAAGAATAAATGAGAGATCTGATTCATAGCTCCTTAAGTCTTTCCCATTAATCCTAGCTCTTTGCACCTCCAGGCTCCAACAAGAGGAATGGAGCTCCCTTTTCTAATTGCATGATAACAAGATATCCTGCTATTGATTTCATCACATGAATTTGTTCGACCCCGATTTAGAGATTGACTAATACCCAGTTGGTTGAGAGAAGGGAGATAAATCAATCTGATAACGAGGTGTTTTGATGATTTGGGTGGGTTGTACTGGTGATTTAGCAAACATTTGAGAAAATTTGTTCATTTTAGCATGCTTAGTTGTCATAAGAACGAACTTAGTAACTAGAAACTATTCAGTAAGATGAGGGTCAGATACTAAAATAGGAAAAAGATATTAGGTTCCTACCAAAGATATGTTTAAGCTGAATTATTTGTAATGAAGATACAATTCAGATTGGGGGTAGAACAAGTTTTAATCTTTTTCCCTGCTCTATAGGAGTCAGTTATTCAGGAATCAAATAAGTTGTGCGTTTCTAATAGCTCTGATATACACATAATCTATATATATATATATATATATATATATATATAGATATGATTTAAGTCCTTGCCTGTTGGAAAAAAGATCAAAAGGCCAAGTTCTTCAAGTTAAAAGGAATTAGGATTTCCTACTGAAAAGACTGTAGGTGAACTCAGGCAATTGTTCCCTCTAGGTTTTTAAGAAATCATGCTTTAGTTCAACATATTATATTTGAGTGTTGACATATTTTATTGATTTTGAGTACTATATTGAACATTGAAGTTTTTTTGGCTGCAAAGACCTAATTAACTATTGACGAAGCATAAGATGTGATGCTTTTTGGGTATTTGCATTGAATGAAAAAAAACACTTCGGCTTAGTTTGGGATAAATGAGCATGAAATTGGAATTCATTTGCAAATGAATTCTACAATGAAATTTAATTTAATTTTTCAAATAAATTATTGTATTTTATGGAATTTAATACATTATTAGACTATTATGTGGAATAAAATTCATTTAAATTCATTTTTTTTTTAATTTTCATATAAATACACTTATAGTTTTTTCTTTTCAAAATTCATTCAAATTCAATTTTTTTGTTTTTATATAAATACCCTTCACATTTTATTTTACAAAATTCATGACCAAATTCGTCATTATATTTTTATTAGGCTAATATATATATATATATATATGTGTGTGTGTACATACATATATACTTATATACATTATCCAATCCCAGTGAAACTGGGATAGTGAATTGTTATAAGCATATTAATGGTATATATACTATTATGTACATAATTTGTTATATAGACACGCGCACACAGTCGGTTACGTATAGCAACATATTGAAGTATAAATTGTTATTATACATTGTTATATATATTACTATTATTCTTGTAGTTACTGTTGTGTGTTTGTATAAACTGTGATGTACTTGACATATATTAACAGATAATATCTATATATATATATACACATATACAGAAATAAACATTACTGATATTTCATAATTTTTTGTTATATTTTGTTATCATTTGACTGCATGATCTTATTATTTTAACTATCAATTTTTAGTTTCTTCTCTCTCAATTGACATAATGAAAGTTGATGATAGTAAATAATACCCCAACGGTAATAAAATATTGTGAAATTTACTCTTCATCAGACTTCTTATCTTATTAATCACTAATCAAAGATTTCATGATTTTGGCTGATACCCAATTGCAAGTTCTGGTTAACTCGGCAGGTAGAAGGAAAAATGATAGAAGACTTGTAAAAACCAAGTAACCATCAATCACACTGAAGTGTTAAATTGTCCAATAAGCAGTCAACATTTCAAGTAGTGACTTATAGATTTAATAATTGAAAGACTAATTTAAACCAATTATATTACAAAGTTTTTTATTAATTTCAGAATTTTAATAGATAATGTTGGATGTTTTAGTACATTATGTTTATTCCAACTAAATAAATTTAGTTATTATAAAATATTTATTTTGCCTTAAATATATGATATTAAATTTAATTTGATCATTATAATTCTATTAACATATTAATAAATTAAATTTTATATTTTGTTAAATCAAATATATAGATAGTTATTGTTAATTTATAATACATTTATAAAGTGACAAGTTCTTTATTCTCGTGGTGCAAATATTTAACCACTAAATTAATGGACAGTAACATTATATTTAGAGTCTTATATAATTTTAAAATTTACGATGACATACTTTAATATTAATTATTTATGTATAAAATATTTCACAGTGAAAAAAATATATGTAACAATAGTAATGAAAACCCATGATACTAAATAGTCCTACCCCTCTTCCAGAATCAAAGAATAATTATCTTCCAAAAACAAAATATCAGTCTAAAAAGAAAAAAGCAATCAACCTAATGCGAATACAATATTGTACCAAACACTTAACGGAAAAAAAATCAATCAACAGCCTTAACTACTCCCTAAATCTAAAATACAAAAAAGCAGAAGAAAACAAATATAAAATATAGTATGTATATATACATAATGATGTGTTAATAAGTAAAATTGGGATGCCAACCCTACCAACCTATTCCACTAATTACACTTCCACACACAAAAGCAAGCCTTTTTCCTTCTATATGTTGTGTGGTTATGTTAGGTTTTATGATCAGTGGCCTACCTCCTCCCACCAATATGACCAAGAATTAATCCAATCTCCAAACAAGCCTCTATTAGTATATACACACACACACATACAAACACAAATATATATAGTCAATTCTTCAATTTTGAAACAAGAAAGATATAACCCTCCAATCAACACTAAACACCTCTTCTTTTTCCACCTTTCTCATTTCTTGAACAAGTAAAATCCAAAAATTTGGTCAACTTTCCACTTATATATATTCATATATTTATATATATATATATATATATATGGGAGAAGAACCCAAAATTCAAAAAGGGCCATTTACAAATCCCTGACACTCAACACCACTAATTCTTCTCTGCAGTTGCAATCAGAAAACCCCCCTTTTTTTCTCTCTTATTAGTTTCCAGTTTTCTTTCACTGCGAGCTTCTGCTCTGAGTTTCTGAGCATTCCTTTGCAGTTTCTTCAGAAGGGCCTTTCTCTGCCTTTACTCACTCAACTTTACTCACATGGTATATATGCTCCCTCTCCTCTATATGTATTTACATATATATATATATATCTTCTCTCTCTCTATATATATATACATGTATGATTAATGTATTTGAAAACGTATGTTATATTATTTATCGTGCAAATGGTTCTATTTAATAATATAATACGTTATTTTCTCTGTACGTTATTTAATTATATGATATATGTGTGTGTATATTTTTGAAATTATTTTTATTTATTAAAAAATTTATTCCATAATTTTATATAAACTCCTCGCACCACCTAATCGGTTGATAAAACCACGCAGGGTGCAGAGGTTCCACAATCTGAACCAACAATGTCAAACATCACCTCCAACGGGGCAGCAGCCAACTCGGTGTTTCAACTCAGCGTGAAGCAACTCGGAGAGCCAACTCTGGTAACTCCGGCGGAAGAAACCGACAAGGGCCCGTACTTCCTCTCCAACCTCGACCAGAACGTCGCCGTAAGCGTACGTACAATCTACTGCTTCAAGTCTGAGGAGAGAGGCAACGAGGACGCCGGAGAAGTGATCAGGAATGCTCTGAGAAAAGTTCTGGTTCATTACCACCCACTCGCCGGCCGGCTGACGATCAGCTCGGAAGGAAAGCTGATTGTAAACTGCGGCGGAGAAGGAGCGGTGTTCGTGGAGGCGGAAGCTAACTGCGGCATCGACCAGATTGGTGATATAACGAAACCCGACCCGGAAACTCTGGGGAAGCTGGTTTATGAGGTGCCTGACGCCAAGAATATACTGGAGATTCCTCCTCTTGTTGCTCAGGTAAAAATAATAATTTATAAATTTTTTTTTTAAATCTTACTAAACACTTAAAAATATTAATTTATAAATTTAAGAAGATTATAAATATATATTTTTTAATTTTTTCAAAAAATTATAATTCATGAATTAAAATTAATTATTATTAATTTATTTAGAATTTTAAAATTATTTTAGTTATATATATAAAATTTTTTTGCACAGCCATAAATTATTTCTTATTCCTCACATTTTTAACAAAACATTACATTGAATTAGTTTATCTCTTAAAATTTTTCCCAACAATCACAAAATTAAAACTTAATTAGTATCTCATCTTCTTCTTCCCGTTTTCAACGAGGCATTATCTTGAGTGTTTTAAATTTTTCTCAAACTAGTCGTATATTGTGTATTATATAATATATGCATAGTTATATGTATAGATATACATACATTTCAGGTCACCAAATTCAAGTGTGGAGGCTTTGTTCTGGGATTATGCATGAACCACTGCATGTTCGATGGAATCGCAGCAATGGAGTTCGTCAACTCATGGGGTGAAACAGCCAGAGGATTACCACTTTCAGTCCCTCCATTCTCCGACCGAACCATTCTCATATCCCGAAACCCGCCGCAAATCCACCACCTCCACCAAGAATTCGCCGAGATTCACGACAACTCTTCCCCCGGCGCCGGCGCCGGCGACGACATCTACAACCACCAATCTATGGTCTACAGCTCCTTCTGTTTCGACCCAGACAAGCTCAAAAAACTCAAGGCGACCGCCATGGAAGACGGAGCTCTCGACAACTGCACCACCTTCCAAACCCTCTCAGCATTCGTCTGGAAAGCTCGAACCAAAGCGCTTAAAATCCGCCATGACCAACAAACCAAGCTCCTTTTCGCCGTCGATGCGCGGTCCAAGTTCAATCCTCCACTCCCCAACGGCTACTTCGGAAACGGAATTATCTTGACGAGCTCCATTTGCCAAGCCGGCGAGCTCCTCGAGAAGCCATTATCGTTCGCCGTCGGACGTGTTCAGGAAGCGATCAAGATGGTTGCGGATGGGTACATGAGATCCGCCATTGATTACTTTGAGGTGACGAGAGCAAGGCCGTCGCTGGCGTCGAGTTTGGTGATCACGACGTGGTCGAGACTGGAGTTTCACACGACGGATTTTGGGTGGGGTCAGCCGGTTCTGTCAGGTCCGGTGGCGTTGCCGGAGAAGGAGGTGATCTTGTTTCTGTCTCACGGGAAAGAGAGAAGGAGCATTAATGTTCTTCTGGGTTTGCCGGCTCCCGCCATGAAAATCTTTCAAGAAATTATGCATATATAGATTTTATAACATATATATATATATCACGATAGAAGAAGCAGAGATCGATCTGTTTTTCTTTTTCATTTCATCAATTGGTTTTGTTGTTTGTTACTGTCTAAGATTCAATAATTTGTTTGAAGTTTGGTGGGTTGGTTCATGGATGTTGATCGTGGTTAAAGAAAATACATGCATGGCCAAAGCATATTCATGTATACGTTAGACATATATATATATATATATGTAGAGGCTATGTATGTATCTTTTACGTGGGAATATTAAAGGTGAACTTATATGTTTAATTTATAAATATTTATTTAAAAATAATCATATATAAGCTATGCATGTATGATTTTTTCAAAGTTTGATTTTTTCATTTTATTTCATAAGAGTTTATAAAAACTTTAAGTTACATCTTTTGATGGAATAGAAAATTAATATTATTTTTTAACAAATAAATTGTTAAAGTTTGAATAATATAAAATTGTAAATTATATTAACTTATGTAGATATTTGTTAAAAATATAGTTCGAATGTGACATTCAAGATGTCCTGTGACACACACCTCGT